AATTATCTAATACAAAATCTTTATTAATATGTGCATCTTTCAAAACAACAAGTTTCCTCTCTGGAGAAAAGCAAAAATATCAACTAAAAGGATATGATATATTTAAAAATACATATTGAATGTTCAATATCAAATTACCTACTGGTAAAATAGTACAGTTTAACTATTCATACAAACAAGACATACATCTTTTTAATACGATCAAACAGAAAATGGATAGTGACAATCAGAAATACCCATTATAAATTTGTTTATTCAAGTATATCTCAAACCATTTCAGTATCACATAAATACATGAACTCTGCCACTTGAATTGCCTCCAGCTAAGACAAGTTCTGTAGGGTGAAAGGCATTGATGGAACAAACAGACCCAAGACTTTCTCCCATAAAAGTGTATGCACAGTCACCATTCACATCAAACACTTCAATCTGGCGAGGATGTTTCATAGAACCAACAACAAATCCTTCTTCATTGTTAGGTAACCAAATGGCTTGAAATGGTGTCAACCAACGGCCTGTCTGGTTGTTGTGTCTACAAGGACAGAGAAAGCTTCATTAGATTACGAAATTGATTATCTTTGTGACAAATGCATTTGGTGTGTGTTTGTCAAATCAATAAACTGGAAAAATTATTTAAGTGTGAGTGTACTTGTAGGAAGATTAGATACATCATTAATGAAATATAGTGACCAACTAACAATTCTGTCTACAAAATTATCCTACATAAATGTTTTAACATTTGTTTTTAAACTTTTACTATTTCTTACATATTTGTAACTTACTGAAGTTATGATTGAAGCTATGACAAAATAAACTTTTCACTTATCTAATACAAAATCTTTATTAATATGTGCATCTTTCAAAACAACAAGTTTCCTCTCTGGAGAAAAGCAGAAATATCAACTAATCAATGAGTTTACAACACAGTAAAAAATAACAACAAAAACACTTCTTATTTGAAATTTATCAACATTTACCTATATGTCTTTTTCACTTTGATGTCTTCATTCAGCTCAGTAGAATCAAACACCCTGCACAGGAAATGTTGGATATAAAAATATGCATAAATATGTATACATCTTTAAACTGAATATTTAAATACCAAAGTAGCACATTTCCTCATAATTTCTTTTGTGAACCATTTCAAATATTTAGTAAAACTCATACCTATCCTCTTAGTGTCACAATCTTAAGCTTGTGTTACACTAATAAATATATATATAAAATAAAGATATCTATTTATGGTGTTATAAGTTGAGGTACTGACTACACTAATTTTGATGAAATTTGGTACAGAAACTCATGTGGATCTCCAAAGACTGAATCTAAATATATAAGTAATCAGACAAACGGCTCGAATTTGAAAGTCATTTCAAGTTTACTGCCTTTATGTCGCATATGTGGGCACAATTGGATGATAATGTCAGAAGCGAAATACAAAGAATAAGCCAATGTCACATTAAAATGAAGTTCTATGCTTTGCATTACATAGGTGTCTTCCCACAGAATGATTGGTTCTTGTCCTACAGTTCAAAATAGAGCTTAACAATTGATGGAATTTTCCACTAAATTAATCACTGAGTTCATTAATTGATTATGTTTCACAAATCAATTATTTACACATGATAGGGTCAACACATTCCCCATGGCTGCTGCAATCAATACTGTCATGTTTTCTATCCACCAGTACATGAAATCAGGCACTTCCAGTAACTTCAAACATTTTTCATCCAAAAATATAGTCAATTGTTTTCAAATAGTGATAAAATAGTCTTATATAAGTGTATTCAGTTATACAGTATAATATCATTGAAAATCTAATTATAGTTTTTGAAAATTTGCTGAATTCAGTTATAAATGCCTTCAAGGCTGCTGTAATAAGCTGCTCATAATTATGTATCTTTACCATCTCAGGATTTAACATATTTTAGATTTTCCAAGAAAAATTGAAATATTTTAAAAAAGAAAAAAATTTATTAATTACCTATTATCAAAGCTAATCTTTCAAGGTTCAATTTGCAGTTTGTCTCAAAAAAAAGTTAAGAGATTAAGATATAAGAGAAACTGTGATAAGTATTCTTCAAGCTTCACTGGTCACAGATTATTGCTTAATTAAATATCCCATTGTTTGTTGATAAATATTAACTCAAGCGTTTGGAATTAGTGCTGCCGGCTAGTTGTCTTCCTTCTGGTCTCTGATCAGCAGTTCAAATTTAGGGACAGTAGCAAATAGTCATAGTAGATTTGTCAAAACTGAAAACAACAACAGCAAAAAAAGAAAAAGATACAATGTTCCCACTGCTGAAGAGGCCAGCATGTTTGTTAGCAATGGAAATTGAACACAAGCCTTTTGAATCACAAGGCAACTTCCCCTAATCACTAGGCCATGCAATCTCAAAGCTGGAGAAATTTAATTAATAAAAAAAAAAAAAAATACTAATAAGTAGGACAATTTATTTAGTATTACGTTAGGTATTAGTTAAGAAAATAACTAAACTAAAAAATTAAGTTAAATTTACTACGAAAGTAA